TTAGCTACCTGAAGAGGATCCTTAAAATCACTTCTGTGGTTGGAGAGGATGATGTCCCAAATGGGCACCAGCTGAAGTCCCCGGTCAATGACACACCAGGTTTGATTACTGGCAACTAGGCCAGCTTTCCACTGGAAAAAGCTATTTGCTTCTGGTGGGCCACCTGTGTGGGCCACAGATAGTTGGACTTTGGTTTGGAGATTTTGGCACGTTGTGCTTTGGGAGGATGCATTTGAATGAGAGTCTGACACATCCACACCCGCAGCGACTTTCACTCCAAAGCCAACATAGCTGCCCCTTATGTAACTATTCAGGGACTCTGCTGACTGCTGTTTCACTTCTGCCAGCTGCTCACTTTGGAAACCCTCTGAAATGGCTTTCCACCAGTAGATTCCTCCCAGGTGCAGAGGGCCCTGGTTGGCATGAGAGCCAAATCTGTGGAAGAAAGCTTCAGTCTTGTGCCTTAGCAAAGGGAGTTTGTCTAGGCCTGCGGGCTGAGCCAGGAGGTCTTCAATGCATTTCAATTCCTGGAGAGTAGCCTTGGAGAACTGGAGTTGATCAATGGGAAAGTGGAAAGAAGCGAGTGGGACATAGCTGAATTTGGTAGAGCAGAAATAAGACTGTTCAGAATGTGAGTGATGGGTTTCCTTGGATTGTGAATGTTTGCTGTGATCCGTACCAGTTTCCAAGCTAAATCCCCAACCTCCACCCTTGGCTGAAGCAGTTACGCTGAAGCCCAGCTTCTCCATTGCCTGGGTGAACATAGCTTCTGCGTGAGAAGATGTAAATTCCTGTGTTTCCATTCGTGTGCCCTGCTCAGGGCCATAGAGTGAGAACTCCTTGGGGACACTGAGTAGCTCCTGCCTCTTCTCTATAAGGTCTCTTCGGTATCTGGTTTTGTAAATTCCCTGCAGGGCCAGCCCTCCAGATGCCCATCTCACCAGATCTCTATCTGGGAGGTTTTGCCTGTGAGACAGTGTCCCCTCCGTGAGGTTGAGTTGTTTCTGCACGTTTTCCATGACTTCTCGTAGGGAGTTTTCAGGGGATGGCCAGTATTCTTTGGGGATCTCCATCACCTGCCTCAGCTCTGCCTCTTTTTTCCTCACTGCCTCTTCCTGTTGTTGTCTGCCTTCCAACAGCAAATCTTTTAGCTCCTGGAGCACCTGCTCTGCCTTCTTTTGCTTATTCTTTATCATTTCCACCTGAGACTTCTGTGTTTCCGAAAGACTATTTGGGTGTGACAGTTTAAACAGCTTCTCCAGGGCCCTTTTCTCCCAGGGATACTGTGCCTGGGATTTCAGCTGCTGGAGGTCTTTGTCTTCTAGGTGTTGTAAAGCCTGGGCAGAGGTCACACCCAGATGTTCCTGCAGCTTGGGCACCCAGTACTCAACTGCCAGTCCTACTTCTCTCAGCATCTCTTGGAGATCTTGCCTTTTTATGCCTCTGAGAAGGGGCTCATCAGCGGTGGTCACTGCTGTGTCCATGGCTGTGGAAAGAAAAGATAATCAGTTAGCCTATGTCATGCTCTAAAAAAGTGTCAGCCCTGTGGCCACAGGGTGAGTGTACTAAAGACGCAAGTCTTTATGGCTTTAAAATGAAAGACTTTCTCATCCCCTCCTTTCATTGTTCCAACAAACATATTTTAACACTGTTCAAAAAAATTTGTGTGGTGTGTGTGTGTGTGTGTGTGTGTGTTTGCAAGACATTTTTGTGCGTGTTCTGAACATGATTGCCATTTTTGTTGCCAGGGTGAGTTGCAACTTAATAGCCTAGCTGTTGGCACTTTCTATTACACAGAATCAATTGATGGAGCACATTATGGTGAGGATTGCCGTTTGAAAATATGCATGAATTTGATAGCTTGATGTTTATTTTAATAACAGAGTGGTACCACCAATTATCACTCCTAGTTATTTTCTGTCAAACCTGTGTTGAATGCTTTTCTTTCTTTCTCTATGTCACTCCTTCTTAGGCCCTCTCATGTTATTTATTTACCTTCCTGTCCTTTAAAATGCACTTCTAAATGTCAGCATCATGGTGGCTGATCTTCCTCCTTTTTGTCCCCCTTTAAAACAACCAATTAGACACACATCCACAAACAAAACTGCCTCTGTGGGAATTGTAGGATGTAACAACATATGCCAAGGAATGTGAAAGGAGACTTACCCACCTGTGCATCTGGTAATAGGTAGAAGAGGTCAGTGGAAGCAGCAGAGCCAGCAAACCAGCCCCACCCATCTTGCAGTAGTTGAAACAAAAATCTTTAGAGTGCAGACCTGGGCAGATACCCACAGATGAGAGAAAATTTGCAGAAGTCCAGTCTTCCCAAGGGGAGATTCTACCATGAGTTTGGTGAAATTACATAGGCTAACCTATCTGGTGGTGGTGATCTTTTCAGTGGGAAAAAAGGAGAGTGATGAGTGAGCGCCTGGCTACTCCAATTGTGTGGGACATGGGTAGAGAAACACATTGCTTTCTAGCAGCACCCGGACTATTGTGGCAGGTCCTCCATGACTGGGGGGGGGGGGGGAGATGAGAAAGAGGTGATAAGAATATCAAAGGGCATTAAAGGAACAAGGTTCTTCCCGATCCTGTTCAGGACATTAACAGGAAGGCCTCCCATGTCCTCTGAGAGAATCTAACCTGAAAATCTCCCCACTGGGTCAGCAGGCACCCCTAATACCCCATGTGCTAAACCCATAGCTCCACCCACTCTGTGGCTGGCTCGTTGTTTATGCTCCTGAGTTCAGCAATGAGAGCTAGTGTGGTAAATGTAATGATACCAGAAAGACACACTAGGATCTGTGTGCAGGGGACAAACCACACACTTGAGCTAGAGCGCCATCTGGAAAGCAAGAGAGAAGTTTCCGGTAGCCAGGTTGGTGAATTGTAAGATCTAAAGAAGACATAAAAGCTTAAGATCTCTGCCACGAGAGAGAGAGCAAGAAGAGTGGAGCAGGTGTACCCATACAAAGGCAGAGAAAAAACCAAGATATAATAACACCAATAAACAGAGTAACCTATCTGAAGGCAACTAGTAAAGATTTAAGGAGATGTCTACTACTTCAAATGTAAAGGCAACAATGCAATAATAAAGGTCATAAAAAATCAAGGAAACATGTCATCACCAAAAGGTAATAATTCTCCAATAACCCAGCTTAAAGGCATGGAGTTTTGTGACCTGACTGGCAACTAATTCAAAATAGCTGTTTTGGGCCGACTGAGTGGCGCATTGGTTAAGAGCTGGCTTGGGACGCCAGCTCTGAGCAGCAGGGCCTAGGTTCGGATCCCACATGAGGGCTAGTGACACTGCGTCCTCTACAGCTAAGATGGTGAACAACAGCTTGACCTGGAGCTGGGCTACCGTGAGTCACCAGCGATGGCGTAGGCTGCAGCCCCTGCTGCAGTGGGCTGCCATAA